TTTTTTTTTTTTTTTTTTTTTTGTTGTGTGTGTGTGTGTGTGTGTGTGCGGGCATTGCCCGCACCGCGGACGCTGTCCTCTTCTCCCTCTCTGCGTAGTACGGTTTACCGGGCAGCTCTGTTTGACAATATACTATGTACGTTTGCAGTTCAACACCACGCGGCGAAATCGTTTATGGCCGACGCAGAGCACAAGGTGGGCGATGGACAGGTGGGCGATGGACGCAGCAGAACAGACAAAAGTAATCGACGGAGGGCATCATCCCACGTGGCGTCTTCTTACGTGGCATCGTCCCACGTGGCATCGGCCCCCATGTCGAAGGTGGTCAAGATGCGATGCCTACCGTCCTCCCCCGAACACAACGCACCCTCATTTTGGCGGTATCTGGCCGAAAATATAGCTTGTATACATTCATTTTGAGGGTGCGTTATGTTCGGGGGAAGACGGTAGTGCGGAACGACGAGCGTCAATGAGTGACGTGGACGAGTTCAAGGGGGGGTCTACAGCAGGCCACGTGTCATCAGAGCAGGAGCCCAGGATCGTCGTCAGAAGAAGGTCATCCAGAGCCCTGTCAGAAGAAGAAGCGGTTCAGCTAGTATACGTGAGAGGGCGAGATGGAAGCAGCAACCGTCGACACGTGGCAGCTTCCGGTCATGCAGACGTGGCAACTGCTGGTCATGCTGACGTGGCACCTTCTGGTCATGCTAATGTGGCGCCTGCTGGTCATGCTGATGTGGCGCGAGCTGGTCTTACTGATGTGGCGCGTGCTGGTCATGCTGACGTGGCACCTGCTCGTCGTGCTGACGTGTCACGCGCTGGTCGTGCTGACGTGTCACGTGCTGGTCGTCCTAACGTGGCACCAGCTGGTCGTGCTAACGTGGAAGTGGATGACGATAGGAGAAGCAGCCTGACCTACTCGGACCTATCGGACACCCAGTCTCATCATCCTCCATATCCCGACCGCAATATGGATCGAGACCGGTTTCGCAATTATGGCGGTCATCGGGGTACCTATCGCCGCCGTCGGGATCTCGATGATTCCTTTGGTGGTTCCGACGAGGATATGCGTATCGGTCGGGATAAGGATAAAGATCTGTATCGGGATCTGGACAAGGGTAGGGATGTGGTTACAGAGCCGAAGAGGAGGGTGTACGTGACCCAAGCCATGGCGGGCGTTCTGTTAGCGCTGGGAATGGACATGCTGCAAGAGGAGGAGGAGTACACAGCGATGCTTGGGAGAGTGGATGATGACGATGGGATCCAGGTCATCAGACTACCACCACTGCTTGCGTAAGTGAGGTTAAAAAAAATTGATAATAATAAAAAAATCAGTCGTGCAAGTGAGTTCTTTTTTTCGCCCCCCCAAATTTGTCCAATTTATTTTATTTTATTGGGATCGTTTTCCAAACTGCCAGGTTTTTTCTTCTTCTTCTTTTTTTTTTTTTTTTTTTTTTTAAAAGAAAAATGTCTCCTTGAAAGATCTCCCTGTTGTCAGGTTGCCTTTTTTCACAGGGGACGGGCTCGACTACCTGGATGAAGTGGAGACCACGTGGCCCTTGAGTTCGCAGACTGAATGACAGTGTCATTTTTGCCTTGGGCACTGGGTCCTTTTTTTTTTTTTTTTTTTTTAAAGAGAAAGGGAGTGGAATGCTCCCAGCCTTGTCTGGAAAAAAAAAAAAAAACCTACCCCGGTATGATGATTGAATAAACCATGTCTTTTTTGGGGGGGGAAAAAAACACTCTGAGATGGATTAGCTAACTGATGAGCGAGTGCTGAGGCTGTGACACGCACGTATTCTTTTTTTTTTCTTTTTCCCGTACGCAAAAAATAACGAGATTTCCACTGTCCCTATCTACTACCACCCTGCAAAATCCACAGCCAAGGCCCCCCCCCCCCCAAAAAAAAAAAAAAAAAAAAAAAAAAAACACCAGCCAAGGGAAAGGGCTTGGAAGAAAGGCGGGGAAAGAAGACCCTGTTGAAAAAAGATAAAACGAAAAAAAAAAGACCGTGTTCAGCTTGACTCTAACTCGACTCTTTGAAATGACTTGAGGGGTGTAGAATAAGTGGGAGCTTTACCGCACAAGTGAAATACCACGACTTTAATCTAGGGACAATTGTTGAAATACCCCTAAAAGTTTGGGTATTTGGTTAGATACCCCTAAAACACCGGGGTACGCTGAAATGCCCCAAACTTGTGTTCGCCCCCGTGCCGCTCATGGCAACTTCGCCATATGCCCTGGACCTGGGCTGCAGGGGCCTGTGCATTTCTTTGGCCATCTGTGGGGTCCAACGGATTAAAATACGGGGGCAGATAGACAAGTTGCCTAGGGAGCGGTAGGGGTATATGCAAAAGATGACAGGTCCAATTGGTGAGGGGGGTATTTTGCAGAGTTGCATTACTGTCGAAGGGGCATTTTGCCATGCCCGTGACTTTTAGGGGTATCTGACGAAATTCCCAAACTTCCCGGGGCATTTCAACAATTCTCCCTTTTTTTAATATTTAAACCTAGGCTACCAGCCGGGCCGCCCGGGTCCCGGGTGGCCAGGCCGCGCAAGGATCAGGTAAGGTCCCAGCCAAAAAAAAAAAAAATAAAAAATCCAAAATTTCTGAAAAAAAACTATGTTATGCAGAAAAATAAACTGAACAACTTTTGCCTCAGGGTCACATCGAAATTCTTCACCAAGTTTAAAATAAAAATTAAAATTCAAAAATATTTTATTTTTTTTATTTTTTTTAATCATTTTGGCCCGGCCGGGCAAGTGACCCCGGGCCACTCTGGTAGCCTAGATTTAAACTTTAAAGTTAGCAGAAAATTGAAAATCCGGTGTTGGCTAGTGTTCAAGACTATTCTTTTTTCGGGGGGGGGTAACTTCTTGGTTTTTTTTTGTTTTTTTTTTTTTAAACACAATCTTTCATTATAAACTTGAAATGAGGCCGGGGACCCCACACTTCAACCCAGAGTACTGACAGCATCAGCCAGCTTAGCTTACAGGCTCACGCCTGCAGAAAGTCTCTAACTGTAGACTTTCCAATTTCCTACACTGTGAACCACATATCCTACAAAACAAGAGACCACAGTAAAACAAGCAATCTAACATCCTGGGCAGCCCGGGGCTGATGGAAGATACACTTTCTGATTCAATTGTACGAATAACTGGCTACAGGCTCATAAGACCCTACTTCCTGAACTATTTGGTGGATCCTGAGACTCAAACAAACTCTGAATTCTAATCTGGGACTAACACGGCCCAGAGGAACTCGTCCGAGACTCTTAGCACTCTCCTACCGGCCCAAACGCGGCCCTACTTAACCGAGTGCCCTGGTTGCCAACTCCCCTAAACGTGACTACCTCATTTGCCCTCTTGCCTATTGCTTGCCACAACTGGTGCGACATCCTGGTTGCCAACTCCCCTAAACGTGACTACCTCCTTTCGGGGGGGGGTAACTTCAGTAAGAGTCACAAACACGAGTTGTTAAAAAAAAAAAACAAAAAAAAAAAAACAAACAAGTTGTCGAATATCGACAAGACGCTCTGTTGTTGATCCTTACCAAGTTTCCCACTTCCAAAAAAAAGGAAAGAAAAAACACAAAAAAAAAAAACCCAATCCAATCAATCAGCCATTCATCAGTTAATGGATCCATCAGATGAGTTCAATTAATTAATGCAATTAATTGGCCAATTGGATTTTTCTTTTCTTTTCAATCAGCAATTTTATCTCCATTAGTAAACCCTAAACCTATATATATAAAAAAAAAACTAAACCCTAAACCCTAAACCCCTAAACCCTAAACCTGATTGTAGGGGCCAGTCGTTCTATTTTCTAATCTTGAACCACTGGCACCTTTGCCTAGTGGGAAAATAACGGGCCTCGGGTGGGCCTCCGACCTTTTAGGAGTCCGAAACGAATGACAGCCACCAATGAGATTTATCAACGGCAGTTGTCGTCTGGCCCGGCTGCAAACTCTTCGGGAACAGCCCGTTTTCCCTAGTTTCCCAACACTGGCGGAGGTACTAGGGCTTTAAACCACCAGTACCCCCGAAGCAGCCTTCCGCCTTCAGGAACCAATTTTTTGGGAAGCTACCAAACCTCTTTGAACTTGGAGGTTGGAGCTGGTGAAGGGTAGAGAGATAGCGGGTGACCGGTCCTTCATTGCTGGCGACCGGTACTGCTATGTTGGTTGTTTCTTCTTTTCTTTCCCCCCGGTCGTCCACCTGACGTCCTTTTTCTCCGTTCAGTTACATTTTCCCCCCTATGTGCGGCCTCCACTGTCAGAAGAATAGCTGTCGAAGGCGGGGAACCTCGTCAGCTCCTGAGGCACTGTGGTTGAGGGCATATTCACACTACCAGTTCCTGATTGTATCAGCCAGACCTGGATGAATCTGACCGCAAACACGTCCAAAGCTTTGAATAAAAAGTCATCTTGTGAGTATGCCTTCAAATGGGACGTGTCATCCTTGCACAGGGCTATGCCAATCTTCTCTGCATGATCCCATGTTCTAACGGAAGATTCAATCAGTTTGCTGAACATGGGGCCTTGCTCGGCCACTCACCACGACACAAAAGGACAAAAACCACGTGCAAGCCTACACCCCTAGCTCCCAAACGGGCAGCTTTGCCAAAAAAAAAAAAAAAAAAAAAACCCTTCC